AGCCACGTCTGGCACGTCCTGGGCACGCAGCGCCCCTTCTACCTGCGTGTCCGCACCATGTGACAGACTCTCAAGCTAACACATTCAAAAATACGCGGCACAGGTGGAATTATATTCAGTATAGTTTCAAAGACAAATGTATAAATTCCATCCCGTGCATTTCGGCTTTGACTGCAAATGCTGTTTTCCCAAAGTTCTCTCTGGTGCCGAGAACACATTTTCTCACAGGAACATGACCACACAGGCCTGCAAAGAATTCACTTTCTGCACCACGGCTGCTATTCATCGCGGCCAGGCGCCGACACCCACTCTACCGGCTCACCTGGGTCTCAGGACGGTCTCCTCCGCCCCCTGCTTCGCTGGGTGGACGGATGGTGGATGGGACATGATTCCCACCAACACCTGCACTTGCTCTCCAGCGCCCCTGGGCTTTCCTAGCTTCCCCTCTTCCACCTTCATAGCTCCCTCCTCAACAGTGAGAAACTGGTCACTGATTGTGAAAGTACCTACCCACTTGTCCATCCCTTTTTAAAAATATTTTTTTATTGATTTCAGAGAGTGAGAGGGAGATGGAAACATCAATAATGACAGGATCATCGATTGGTGATTGGTTGCCTCCTGCCCCCCCCCCCCACATTGGGGATGAGCTGCGGGGTGTCCCTGAGCCACGTGGCCTGCGCTTCCCACCGAGCACCCTGCCTGGTGCGCCCCCTGCACTGTCGCTGACCAGGAGCCCCCTGGGGAGCAGGAGCCAGGGCCAGGCACAGACACAGGGATGAACCCCCTGTGAGCCCTGTAGTGAGAGGTCTTGGGGTCCCCCTGCCGGGGCACGGGGCTCAGCTGCTCCCAGAACCCAGTCCAAGCCCCTAAAGGAGGGCAAGGAGGGGTCCGTGTCCTGGGGCTGCTGCTCCGATGACTGCAGACTGGCCTCAACCCACAGGAACATGTGCTCCCCCATTCTGGGGCCAGAACCTGAAATCAGGGTGTCGGGAGCTGTGCTCCCCCGGGGGCTCCAGGGAGAGTCCCTCCTGCCCCTTCAGCTTCTGGGGGCTCCTGGCCTCACCCCATCAAACTTCACATGATCCGTCCTCCATCTCCACGTGACTTCCCAGGTGTGTTCACACGGCCCTGCCCCTGTTCACGTGACATTTTCAAATATATATATTTTTTTATTAATTTCAGAGAGGAAGGGAGAGGGAGAGAGAGAGAGAAGCATCAGTGATGAGAGAGAACCATGGGTCGGCTGCCTCTTGCACGCCCCCCACTGGGGATGAGCCCGCAACCCGGGCCTGTGCCCTGACCGGGACTGGAACCCTGACCTCCTGGCTCATAGGTCAAAGCTCAACCACTGAGCCACGCGGCCGGGCCCTCCTCTTTCTCTTTTTTACACAAAGGTAGCGTATTATACACACCGTTCTGAACCTTCTGTGTTTTGTCCCATTTAATGACGCATCTTGGAGAGTTTTCAGTGTTGCTGCATAAAGATCCACATCCTTCGGGACAGTTACCGCTTTCCTGCCGCCTGGCCGCCCCCTCCTCCCCTGAGCCCTGAGGTCCTGCTCCTTCTCCCTCCTCGGGGCACACCCACATCTCGGAAAGGACAGCTTGGTTTTAGGAGGTCAGTAGAAGCTCGAGGTTCGGTCTCTGTTTCCTCGAAGCCCTTCTGATTCTATAGCCCTTCATCTCCTCCTTCTCCTCCTCCTCCTTCTTCTTCTTCTTCCTCCTCCTCCTCCTCCTTTTCCTTCTCCTTCTTCTTCCTCATAAGTCTGCTTTGTTTTGAAAAGTGGCTCATCCGTCCCCAACATGTAGAACAGCCTCAAGTCGATGAAACTGCAGCCGGAGGCGGTCGAAACTGGCTTTGGATCTCAAACAAACCTGGAGGAGAGGAGCAGCCCGGGCAGTTCGGGACCTGCACACGCTGCCCCGTCCTCCTCCCTCGGGCAGAGCTTTCTGGAAAGCCGCCGCCAGGCCAGGCCAGGCCGGGGTCAGATTGCTGGCGGCCGCTGCCTCCCAGGCCGGCGTCCCAGCCACCAGCCCGTGCACATTTATAGCAGCTTCCATGTGATCCGGGCAGACGACGCGAGTGCAGCTCGGAGCACCGGCCTCGGAGAGCCTTCCTGCCCCCCAGCCAGGGGCCCGGTAAGTCAGACTCGGAGGGACCGCTTCTTCCTCCGAGCGAGTGCGTGCGGCTGGGAGGGTTTGGCTGCTGAGAGTAGAGGGATCCGTGCATTTCTCTTTCTTTCTTTTTCGGTGAGAAGGGAAATGAAAAGCACACCTGAGCCTCCTAACCGCCTCCCTCCCCCTCCAGGTCGCCTTCTAAACACAGGGGCTGAATGTTTCTTTCCCGTCCGGGAGGCGGTGGCCCCTTCGGTCTTTAGACCCTGGTCTGTTCACTGTGAAATAAGGCTGAGCAGTTCCCTGGCCTCCCAGGGGCCTGCGCATGCAAATGCGAAGTTCAAGTCCCGGGATTCGCTGGGAGGTGAGCCGAGAGAGGCCCCTGGCCCCGACCCGCCTGGAGTCTGTGGGAAACGGTTATTTTTAACCTCCTGCTGGTGTTGACTGAGGGTTTGCACCGCGCGCCTCTCAGACTCCCACAAGCCCATCCCCTGCTGATTCGGACGCTGTGGCTGCCAAGGGGCGCTGCTCTGGGAGCTCACAAAACCTGGGGGTTCCCCAGCCGGACGGGAGGTCGGTTACAACGGAGCCACCGGGCCGCAGTGAAGTAGGGCTGGTCCTAACCCCTGGGAGAATCCTGCAGCCGGTCCAGTGACACACGGTGGAGCGTGTGCGTGTATGTGTGCGTGTGTCCCGTTTGACAGCATGCTCCTCCACAGAAATGCAGACCGGAAGCCTTTTTTATTTTTTTTGTTAATCTTCACCTGAGGTTATTTTTTTCCCATTGATTTTTAGAGAGAGTGGAAGTGGGGAGGCGAGAGAGAAACATCAATGTGAGAGAGACACAGCGAAGGGTTGCCTCCCACACATGCTCCCACGGGGGCCGGAACAAACCTGTAACCCAGCCCTTGACTGGGAATCAAACCCGAGACCCGCCGGTGCTCGGGCCGACGCTCTGCGCTGAGCCACCCCGGCCAGGGCCAGCCTGGAATTCTCTCTCCAGGCGCCGCCGCGCAGTCTGACCTGTGACATCTGCACAGAGTGCGCCCGGGGCCCCCTCCGGGGTGAGCTAGTTGAGTGTTTGACCAGATAGAGCAGCTGACTTTAAGTCGATCGTTGTGTGTGGCCCACGAACGATGCTAAACGTGTCCAATGGCCCTGGCGGGAAGGAGGCCCCATCCCGGCTCATAAGAAAGAGAAACCCACCCTGGATGGTGTGGCTCAGTGGGTGAGCGTCGACCTAGGAGCTGGGAGGTCAGGGTTCGATGCCCGGTCAGGGCACATGCCTGGGCTGTTTGCTCGATCCCCAGTGAGGGGCATGCAGGAGGCCGCTGATCCATGATTCTCTCTCACTGATGTTTCTATCTCTCTCTCCCTCTCCCTTCCTCTCTGAAATCAATAATAATAATAATAATAATAATAAAACAACAAAAAAGAATGAGCCGTTTTCAGAGTGAAGGACAAAGGCAGGTCCCCAAATGCCACTGGCCCAGGCGTGTGACTTCTCAGGCGGGTCGCTGGGTGCAATGACAGGTGTTGCTTAATAAGC